CTGCGCCTCCTCTGAGTCTCGGTATGCTTTTCTCTTTCCTTCTAGTTGTGGAATTTCCACTCAGCCAGCCTTCCTGTGGTTCTGGGTGATGTCCGTTCCGTCTTTTAGTTGTATTTTTGAAGTGGTTGTGCGAGGCAGCAATCTCCGGTGTTTACCTATGCCGCCATCTTGGTTTCTCCTCGCAAAATATGTTTTTAAAAGAAATAATATATTAACTATAAATTCCAAGTGGCTTCATCTGTTTTGACCGTGAACATTTTTGTTCATCTTTTTTTAGCTATGTAATAATTTCTGTAATACTCATCCTAACAACTTAAAGCCTTGTTTATTCTCTGTGTCATAGTACAAGAACATCTTTCCCCTACTCATGCATTTATTCAAGATTTAACCAACATTTATTGAGCATCTACTTTATACCAGGCAATGTAATCAACATGAAGTATATTATGTGGTCTCTACCTTAAAGAGCTCTATATAGTATGGTGGGAAAGAAGGATAATTAGTGACTAGCCAGCAACTGTCTACAGAGATGGAGCTGTGATGCTCTGTGAAATCTGGTGTTTCAGAAGTCCATTCAACTGATTTATAAATATCCCTTTCAGAACTTGGTGCCAGAAATTATTTGGGAATTCTCATAGTTCTATACTTCAGAGTTCTATACTATCTGTGCTTTGCTAGCAGAGAGTTGGACTTAATCAGGGTTGGAATTTTCCTGGTAATGTAACAGAGGAAGGGAGAGAAAGAGACAAGGAATTGAAAGTATATGCAAAGGAGTATTTATAATGATGGACTGTGGAGTCTAAGCCACGTAAGGGGGAAAGTAAGGACACAGAGAGAGTGATGGACAGTAAAAAGAGGGTAGGGTCAATGGATAGAGATCCTACTGGAGTCAGGGAATTGTTGAAATTGATGTACCAGAGGGAGTGAGCTGGAACGTGAGCCAATAGAAGTCAGAGAATAGGATCCCTGTAATGGAAATTTTAGATGGGGTGTGGTTATAGGTAATGATAAAGTCTGGGCTCAATATGATCATTGAGCCGGTGGTGAGGTGTATTGGTGGAAGATGTATCTTTCCATAGATTACTGAGCAAGAGAATGTTGTGATGAGAAATCATACCTACTTTCAATATCCTACTCAAGTATTTAAAGCCTTCCCAAGTTTCTCAGCTCTTCAGACAAAATCTCTTTTTCATGTTTCCATTGTCCTTATTCATAATGGGCACCAGTTAGTTCTTAATATTTGTGAGAGCAAGAACTATGTCTTATTTACCTTTAGATTTCCAAGCCTGACACAAATCATGACCTAATGTGAATATGACTTTTTTTCAATTAACTTAAGAAGAGAAATAATGGTCATGTGAAAGTAGAGATTTTGAGGTATAAAAGATGAAACTGATCGCAGTAAACTTGGTTAGTATAAGGACAAATGTGTCCAACATCCTATATAATAAAAGCCCAGCAACCGAAATGGAGGAATGACCAGAAACCAGAAATACCGGCCCCTTGCCCCGGCCGGCCTCACCCCCCAGCGGGGACCCTCACCCCAATCCAGAGCCCCCATCAGGGCAGGCCATCCAGCCCCCACCCGTGCACCAGGCCTCTATCCTATATAATAAAATGGGAACGACCAGAACGACCACTGGACCAGTCACTATGAGGCGCACTGACCACCACTTGGTCTTTTTCCCCCGGCCGGCAGGCTCCGATTACCTGATGGCGAACGGGGAACTGGGGTTGGGTGGTGGGGGACGCAGGTGGTGCCAGGCCAAGGCCTCCGCCCCGCTGGTCGCCCCACACACATAGGGTGACCCACGGCGGTGATGGGGCCAGCAAGTGGGTGGGAACAGCCAAACCTCTCGGTCCCTTCCCCTGGCTGTGAGGCACCGATCGCCCGATGGCAAACGAGGAACCAGGGGTGGGTGGTGGCAAAGGGCGGGGCTGGCTGCGGGCAGCCAGGAAGATGGCCCTGATAGCAGGCCAGGCTTAGGGATCATACCTGCACACTAATTTCGTGCGCAGGGCCTCTAGTATTTTATAACAGAGAGCTCAAGTTCTGACTTACTCACTAAGCCTTCCCTGTTATTTTCAGCTGTTACTGTTCTTGCCTTTCATATTTCTATTAAGTTCACCATACACTGGCATGTATGTAAGAGCTCAGTTGTCCTTGGAGAATCAATTTAACTTTGGGAGAAACAGAGAAAGCACCAGTTGTATATAGCAATTTGTTATGTAAAATTTGTTGAATTAAAATCAATAAAACTTTGTTTCTTTGAAATGAAATTATGAAGATGTCATTAATTTTTAAATCCACACAAAGATATCTTCGTTGTAGCATCCTACAGTACACATCCATGTGGCTGCATTGCTTTTTGTCTTCTCTGTGAACAAGAAGTGAATGGTCTTAGTATCATTCACTGGGACCTTGATATAATTCTCTTACATAGAATTATTTTTATAGTGATATTTATTATTGTGAGATTATAGCTGTGTCACCCATACAGTATTACTAAAAACTCCCAGCCTAACAAAGATCTAGTTTATTCAATCAAAGTTCGCTTTTATCTAATAACTTTGTCAGTGAGTCACAGCATGACTCTTCACAATTTCCTTGTCTGTTTCAGTTACAGGGTTTATTTCACTGGTATAAATCACATTTTTTAAAATTTTATTTTTACTTACGATTGGCATACAATATTATATTAATTTCAGGTATACAAGATTGTGATTCAGTATTGATAAACCTTACAGAATGATAACCACAAAGTCTAATAACCATCAGTCACCATACCTAGTTATTATGATATTCTTGACTCTATTCCCTAAGCTATACATTACATCCCTTGGCTTGTTTTATAACTGAAAGTTTGTATTTTTTATTCCCTTCCCCTTTTCCATCCAACCTCCCACCCCCTTCCCTCTGTATAAGTCACTTCTAAAGCTACAATTTTCATAGCTTTAGGAAGTTTTGTGCTCCCTACACATATCAGTACTATAAGTTTTATAGATAACTAGCGGCCAGATGCACGAAGATTCGTGCAAGAATAGGCCTTCCTTCCCCTGGCTGCCAGCAGTTTCCCTCCGGCACCCAGGACCTGGGCTGCTTTGCTCTGGCTGCTGACAGGCATCCAGGACCCGGGCTGCTTTGCTCCCGGCGCTGCCACCACCCACCGGGGGCGTGCTCCGAGCCACGCCCCGCAGCTGCTCAGAGCATGCCCCCACCCCTGGTGTGTGTGTGTGTGTGTGTCTGTGTGTGTGTCCGTCCGCTGGGGCTGGGGGCGGCAAGCAGTTCTCTCCCGCCCATCTGCATGCAGCTCCTCCTGAGTGGTCGTGATGCAGCTTCCTCCAGCGGTCATGACACCTGGCTAATTTGCATATTACCTATTTATATATAGAGAGATAGCCAACATGTTTGTAACCTAGCCTCTGCTATTACTATAAAATCATAATTTTAGTATTGTCTGTGTTAGTAATGTTTTCATAACACTTCTATTTTTAGCAAATCTAATTTTGCCTATATGCTTGTTTTTCACTTTTTAAAGGAAAGAACGCTTGGTGTATGTGGGTATCAGTATTGAAAACATCATTCCTCCACAAGTAAGTTTCTGGCTTATAGTATTTTTAAAGAGAAAATGGCCATAATTGTTCTAAAATGTATCCCACTTTATGTAACATGAGTAGTTTTAATTCTTATTAAAAATGAAAATTTAGGACCTTAAAGAAATCACCCATAATCCCTCATGATTATGTATATGCAGATAGTCCAGAAATATTACATTCAAATGAAATTTATAGCTCACCCCTATGGAGCTTGTTGGGTGTTGTGTTTTGTTTTGTTTTTTAACCTAAATTGGTTAATTTGTTTTCAGCTTCTTTATCTGCTGTTTATGTAAAGTGTCTAAAGATAGTTCAGGGAGAGCTGGTTTTTAATTCTAGCCTTTTGTGGTTATCAGAACCTTCAATTTGTGTTCTTATAGTTTGGTTTCTTTGAAGGGATTTCACTGTTTCGCATTCATTAGCTTAATTTGTAATTAAGAAGGATATCTCATGAGTGAGAGTACATGTAACATGGCTTTTATTTGAATTGAAGAGATTTTCTCAGTTCCGTACAGATTTAATTAAATCACACACTTAAATAGCATGTCTTGGTTAGTTATTTTTCTTCAGCACCATGCCCCTTTCTTCTAAATCCATTATTTCATTTTTTCAGCTTATCTAATTATTTGTTTAAAAATGTATTGATGGAAAAACATCATGATTTAAAAATATATATATATATATATATATTTTGTTGATTTTACAGAGAGGAAGGGAGAGGGATAAGAGTTAGAAACATCGATTAGCTGACTCCTGCATGCCCCTCTCTGGAGATTGAGCCCACAACCCAGGCATGTGCCCTTGATCAGAATTGAACCTGGGACCCTCCAGTCCATGGGTCGAGGCTCTAGCCACTGAGCCAAACCGGTTAGGCATCATGATTTTTTTTTTAATTGTCTAAAGTTTTACATATGTCTCCTTTTTCCCCATCATGATTATTTTTAAAAGAGGTCATTATAAACTCACAAAAACATAAGAATTTTAATACAGAAGTGCTTTTAAAAAAAATATTCTTACTGATTTTTTTTTTTTTTAAAGAGAGAGAGAGAGATTGATAGCTGCCTCCTGCACACCCCCCAGTGGGGATCGAGCCTGCAACTCTGGCATGTGCTCTGACCGGGAATCGAACTAGCCGACTTGGTGCACAGGACGATGCCCAGTCAACTGAACCACACTGGCCAGGACCAGAAGTGTTTCTTTTGATCATCAATATTTTTTTAATATGTACATAGTGTTGCCATGTTCATTCAGTTTTGGTGGGATCATCTTTTTCAAACCTTTCACATGTGCTGCCTAGAGGGACATTAGAAGCTATTAATCCCAAGGAATTTTGTTCTGTCCTGAGTAATAAAATGTATTTATTTTCATAAAATCAGGAGCCAGATTTTTCTGAAGATCATGAAGAAAAGAAAAAGGATTCAAAAAAATCCAAAGCAAACTTGCTTGAAAGAAGATCAACAAGAACACGGAAATGTATAAGTTATAGGTATGAAATACATGGAATTAGTTATAATGAAAGAATTTTTTTTAAATATATTTTTTTATTGATTTCAGAGAGGAAGGGTGAGATAGAAACATTAATGATGAGAGAGAATCATTGATTGGTTGCCTCTTGCACACTCCACACAGGATCAAGCCTGCAACCCAGGCATGTGCCCTGACATGGAATTGAACTGTGACCTCCTGGTTCATAGGTTGACGCTCAACCACTGAGCCACACTGGCCAGGTGAAATAATTTTGTGTGTGTGCGTGAAAATCCTCACTTGAGGATATTTTTTCCATTGAGTTTTAGAGAGAGTGGAAGGGAGGGAGAGAAACAAAAGAGAAACATCAATGTGAGAGAGACACATTAATTGGCTGCCTTCCACACTGGCCCTGACCAGGGCTGGGAATTAAACCTGCAACCCAGGTACATGTCCTTGACTGGGTATCGAACCTGACACAATGTGGTGCTCAGGCCATCCCTCTAGCCATTGAGCAACATCAGCCAGGGCCAGAATGGAATATTTCATTTTAATTAATTAAAATGTTTTAGGCAATTCACTTTATCTTTGTGCTTACCTCAGTTCTAAAGTGAAAGGAGTTTTGCATATGAAGAATTCTTAGGAATCATCCAGTCTTGGTCCTTTTCTTTAAGTTGAAAACAGCCCTTGTGAGATGAAGTACATTTTTTTCATAGTTCTAAAATTCTGACTGTATATGAATTTTAGTAATAATATAACCTTCAATAACAATAATAATGTCATCCTTGAACATAGTATTATTTCTGGACACTAATTTTGTTAACTTTGCCAAGTGATTTGTATCATCAGGGTTTGGCAAACTGGCCTGTGGGCCAAATCCAGCTCACTGCCAGTTTTTGTATAGCCAATGCCTTGGGAGTGATTTTTACAATTATAAATGATTGAGAAAAGAACCAAAAGAAGAACATTCTATGAAAATTACATGACATTCAAATCACAGTGTCCATAAATAAAGTTATTTGGGAACACAGCCACACCATTCACTTGTATTGTCTGTGGCAACTTTTGTACTGAACAGTAACTTGAATAGTTACAACAGACACTGTGGGCTAGAAAGCATGGAATATTTTCTATCTGGCTTTTTACAAAAATATTTACTGATGCCTGGTGCAGATGATCTTTGAAAGTAAAAGCAACAATTTATGTATTAGATACTGATTTACAAAACCCAATTTTACAAAAGAAATGGAGGCTAGTCGGAGTGAGAGGATGTAGTCCAAGTCACACAGTCCCAAAGTGGACAAGAGCAGTTTCATATTCAGGCCTTTTTCACTTCCAAGGCAACCCTCCTGACACACTTGTGTCAGGCTGTAACCTGATTGTTGTATGTATTTTAGATTTGATGAGTTTGATGAAGCAATTGATGAAGCTATAGAAGATGATATCAAAGAGGCTGATGGAGGAGGTATGTGTTTGTTTATCATTCTCTCTTTTTCATATAACTCCAGCTAATAAAATAACTGAAATGCCCTGGTTAGAGCAGTGAGCTTTTTTTTTTTTTTTTTTTTTTTTTCCCCCCGGGG